TCCTTGAAAGCGATGGAAATGTCAAATGCCGCCCACACACAAAGCACACACAACGTTCCACATTAGAGATGTAACAATATATCGAAAGGAATATGAATAAACTATATTAGAAATCAAATAAATTGATATGTTGTTTTTTATAAAAATCAAAAATATCGGTTTATGCGCTGAAATATCGATTCAACCAATTATTTATCGATCATTTCTCTCATTATAAATTACAAATTTACTCAATTCAAACCATATATTCAATAGTTTATAATAGAAAGTACAAATATCAGCTTATATATAATATATCTTTGTCATCTCCAATACATAAGATACTCAGAAATACAGAAATACAGAGAAGATACTCAGAGATACAGAGACCGCCTGCAGTTGGTTAATAAACCAAAGATGCCTTGCGGAAAATGTTTCTTTGAAAATCAATAATTTGGCAGTAAGTCAAAGCTTTAAACTGCCTTGACTGTGTGTGGGAGCATTGTATCTGTATCTGTATCTCTTGACTGTATCTATGTGCTATACATTCTGCTTTAATCAAATCTTCCCTTCCCCACATTGTGCATCAATTATGACGCATTAAAGTCAACTTTGCCTTTGAGATACAATTTACGCATTCACCGAATTGTAGGAAGTTGGATATTAATAGAGCTTGGCCTGGGTCCCGGTCGCAAGGTCTTCTCCATCTCCATCTCCATGGTACCATCTCATCTTGGTTTCGTTTCCATTCTCTGGATGCATGTACATACGTCGCCCACACGGGGCATGAACCGGAGCCTCTTTATGGAGGGGCAGCTGCTTTTGCAGCAAACGCTTCTGATTCAGTCACTCCTGCCTTTGCAGCAGCAGCCATGTCAATGTCAGACTCTGCTCCATCTCTGGGAGATTGCAGCAGCACAGTGGTTGGATTTATAAGTTTAAATATTCATTTGTTTAAGTTTTTTCATTGCAGAACGCCTTGCCTCACTGTAACTGCGACAGTTCTTCAGTGTTAATCCGGCGCTGGCTTTCAATTGAAGTCGAAAGTCCCCCTTTGGGTCTCTGTCGTCTGCCTTCTTTTCTTATCCCATTGGGCAGGGCTTTTCCTGTACAAAAGTTGAAACACTTTAAAAAGTGCAACGACTTGGTCTGACTTTATCCATCCTGGAGAGAAGCTTGAGCCGCCGCTGGGTCTTGTCAATTGGAGTTCGCACTTTGGATGCGAGTGGAAGTACGAATGAGTATCTGGCGAAGTAGCTGCGAGCTCAAGTTGAAGATGCAAATGCCAATGCAGATGCAGATGCAGATGCTGTTGCAGTTGCAGTTGCAAGATGATGGTCTCCCCCCCTCCTGCACATGTTCACCTATTGTCTGCGATTATTTCCACTCACTTGACTCACACACACTCGGGACAAACGAGCCACTGTTGGTTTGTTTTCTTCAATTTTCCCTTTTTGAATGCTGCCTTTGGTGCTTCACTTTTGTTGTATCTTTTTTGTGTCAGGAATAAGGGCATTATTTACTAAAGATTACTGGAAAGATTCGTTTTCATTTTCAATGACCATTTTGTGCATTTTTGGTTTTTCATCTTTTGTGCGTTTTCACAGGGGGGCTCTCAAGAGTGTCAATGGTCTGTTTTGATTGGAACTCATTGACCCCCAGAGAGTTTAGTCATCTTAAGAGAGGGGCAGTTGGGTTCCTTAATTAATTTTTGGAGGAGCGGGAAAAGTTCTCTGTTGGAAAAAGTGAGAACATGTTATTCAAGGGGAGAACTTTAGAGTGGAGGAGAAATACTATAAAAAGAAATCCTAAGGGAAATTAAAAAACTTGAAGTTTCTTTAGAAGTGGACGTTGAAATCTCTGGAATATCTTTGAATTAGATATTATAGAGTTCGTTTTTTAGGTTTATATAAGTATTTTGTCTGTATTTTATTAAATAAACAATAATTTATATATATTTCTTTATATATCTTCCTTATTAAATGCTATTATCCTTTTAATTTTCGTTCCAGGTAACTCCGATCTCCACCTTCAACTTAATTAGATCAACCCACGCACAAAGTTCTGCATAAATTTTGCCTCAAAGAAAGCCAGCCCTTCCTTGGGCCTTCGCCCACTCACCTGGCCTGGCTGACGCAGTGAGTCTCCCTTAAGGTGTTTAACCTCGGCTGCCAGGAACACTTAAAAGCGTTTCATGTTTTATCTAAAGGAGGCAGAAGAAATGGCAAACTGTTTTTGGGGGGAACTGATTCCATTAAGGGGGGCGCCACAACATAGCACATAACACTTGCTGCGCCTGTTGTTTGCCACATGTCCCGCATCCCAGGGAGAACCCAAATCCACATCCTTAGTCACCGCACCCTGACTCCTTCCCTGTTTTTTTTTTTTGCTGGGTAAATAAAACAGTAACTTTTGTGGTTGCCCTCAGAGCAAGTGGGTGTAGTTGTGTGGTGGAGTGGTGTTTTGTAGTAAATCCACAAAAGTTTTCTCCTTTTATGTCCGAACATAATTTGCAACGGGTTTAAAAAACAAGACGAATTTTTATGTTCTCAGCATTTATGTAGTCGACTTTGGGGCGTTTATGGGTTGAAAACACCCCCCCCCCAAAGCCGCACAAAAGCCATATAATTGAGCTCAAACATTAAGCGGCTTTTCGGGAATTTTTCTTACCTCCCCTTTCCCTGGGACATATTGAAACCGAATCATTGGTTGATTGAATTACATTATATCGTTACGAACTTCTTAAAGAAGGTCTCGTTTTTGGTTTCTACCATTTCCGGTTCCAGAAACCCCACCCACGCGAAACGCAAAATTTAAATTAAACTTGTTAATTATTCCTTGGGAACAACCCACACATAAGACCAGAACGAACATGTGTTCATTCCAGTCACTTCCTTTGCTTCCTTCCTTGCACATCCCACATTTTGCGGGTTTCCCTCGATTCCAATGATGATCACTTTTTGATCCTTTTCCAATACGTGACAGGCATGCGTCGTAACCCGATGCTACCTTTTATATTTATTGTACGATTAATTTTCGTGCATTATTTGCTTCTTTTTTTTTTGTTTTTGGTAAGCAGATGTCGTCTAACATCATGTCTAATGAAATGCCTCGGTGGCTCTAGAATTAAATAGGGAAACCCTCATAGTTCGAGGGCGTGAAAGTTGTTGACAACATGTGGGCTAGGGGAGCAGAGTTAAACTCGATCGGTGGAGGAGGAACCTATATAACATACAGACCTATATAATCCATTCATAGCACGTGTCGTCATGGTTGCTACTGTGATCATTCAAGGATGTGGATATGAAATATGTTTTGGTACAAGTAAAATACTTTAATCTTTTGAAAAATAGAAAATCTACTTCATCAGTGTGTATGGTATTTTTATTTAGGAGTTTTAAGATCAATTTATAAACACTTTTATATACTATTTCTCTTGTATCTTTATGTTATATAACCATAACTTCAACGCAATATAATACATCCGCGGTTTTGCTTATTTCAGGACTTCCTCTAGAATATTCCTGAATAATTTCAAATCTCCTTTGTTACGCATTATAGTTTTATTCATTGTGCTGCCTAAGTTGACGTGAAAAATAATCAAATGTTTTTTTTTTTTCGACATTCCAAAAAAGTTATTATTTTCTCAGGGGTAGGGATGGATATATATAACTGAACCCTGTGCCAAAAAAGGGGTTATTGTTATTGCTGCGGTGACGCATCAGGACTTCAGGATATCCCTACATCTGCCAGCTGTGTTTTTGTTTCAGTCGAAACTGCGCCTCAACAACACTTGCCAATTTTAGACAAGTTTGAAAACTAGTTTTAAAACTGAAACCAAATCCAAAAAATCCTGTATCCTGAGCCAGTTTCCCTTTGTTTTCTTTTCAGTGAAAACATAATTGGAGGATAAAAAGGGGTTATGTAACTTTGAACAACATTAGGATTACTCTTAAAGTAAAACTATCATAGAAGCCGCTAAAAGTATTTGGTTAATCTACTGATTATTCCTATAAACTAAAAAACTTTGAATATTTTATATTACCTTTAAAGGTACAAACTTTTAATATAGTTTTTTTTACCAGTATTATCTATACTTTATTATTTATGTGATCAAACTTAAAGAAAGGGGATCTTTACCATAAATGTTTTTCGAAAAAAAAAACACCATAGAATATTTGGCACTTACTGTACAACAAAACAAAGCAATGCATGGAGACAGTGAGAGAGAGCATAGCCTGGAGAGAGTAAACGTTTTCTGCTTTCCAGTTGCATGCCACCCCTATGCGGGTGCTCTCTCCTGGTGTTCCCCCTGTCTCTCTGTCATACCTCAGAAGCCGGCTGTTGGCGAGAGTAAGAGAGAGCATGGGAGAGTGACAATAAGAGCGGGAGCATAATTGGAGAGCTGTTTCCAGTAGTTTTACTGGCGGCTGAACAGTGGGAAAATCGGTTGATTAAAAATTGTTGAGATAATTGTCTAAGAAAATCAACATGTTTTGTAAGAAAAAATATATGATATCTTGATATTTTCTCCTTGCTCCTAAATGTTTGCAAAATATTAAATTGAATATATTTTCAGAAAGTTAATATTGCATTGCATTAAAAACTTTTCTTGTCGAGAAATAATATATATATAATTTTCTATATATTTTTTTTATTTGTAAGTTAAAACCTAAGTTCCTTGTTCACTAAATCAGCTTAATATTCCACTGTGCGCTGCTTTGAATGGAAAGCAAACTTCGGAGAGAGAGAGAGCGCGTGGCTCTACGTTTAGCTCGCTCCCTTACGTAATTTCCCCTTACGTTCTCTGCGTTACTACGTTTTGTGGTGGCTGGCTAAGTTGTTGTTTCACTTACGTCTTTGCTCTTCTGGTCGCCGCACGCTTTTTGCTCTGCTCCGGTTCGCCTCGTCTCTCATCGCACACCATCCTTTAAAACACACTCACACTCGCACCAAAGCGCCCGACAGACGCGATGGATTAAAAAAAAACATAAATCGAACAAGGAATATATATTTTAATATTCCAATTGTGAATAATTCAAATAGTGCAAAAATATAATTATTATAATCAAAAAGGAGGAATCAAAAAAATCACATATAAACCGCAACTATTTTTGTGAATTTTGTTTTGCTCTCAGCATCCATCGAAAGTTTTTGTGTTTGCCGAACGAGTGAATAAGAGAAAAAAAACGCGCAATAAATCACAGAAAATCTGTACGTGTGTTATACACACCTAAGTGTCCTGCAGGAAGGACCTCGGAGTTTCGACCCGCTGGGATTTACAAATTCAAGGATTATTCATTTCCAATTGTCAACGAGAATCACTGAAAAACACAGTGTTCACGAATTAAAAAATCAAGTAAGAACTACAGTTTTGTGTTGAAAAAAATATTCTTAAATGTGTTAGAAAAAAAGGTGAAAAATTTAAGAAAACTTTTCAATATGTCAGTTTTGAGGAATGAATTTTACAATTTTCTAAAGGATATAATTGTTAAAATTCTGACTATCCATATGCCAGTCTACATTTTTAGAGAAAAACTCTTTTAAAAATATGTACTTAATAAAATAGTTTAAATTCAAATAATAAATGAAATTACATTCTTAGAATTAAGTTTAAATTATTCAAAGTCAGGCTAAACGAGCTTATTCTAGAACTGTTCTATTTTTCTGTATATTCGCCAAGTCCTTAAAGTTTACTCTAAAATATCAATTAGAATGTGTAAAATTTTGAATAGAAATATTCTTTTTTGAACAAACATTTTTCTAAAAATAGTTTCAAAGCTTTATAATTGATAGCTTCATTTTTTAAACCTTCAAAAACTCTACACTTTAATCAAATAAATGTTTAATCTTTGAAAAGCCACATTTATCAACGAAAAATCTCACCAAAACAATTTCAATTGCTCTCCACAAGCAATCCAAAGATACATTTTCTATTCCAAGCTCTTAATAAGATTAATGGCACTTTACGATTCATTGATATAATCCCTGAAGAATGCATACCCATCATCATCATCATCATCATCATCATCATCTTATGCTTCTTGGGGTCTAATGGCTCGTGTCACTGATCTGACAGCTCTTTCCCTTACTCTTTTCCCCCCTTTTTTCGATCCTTTCTAATAGTCCATGGAAAAACATAACCATTTGACATAAATCAAAGTCTTCGCCGTGACAAATCCTTTTTGAACATTTCATAAACATAATGTGTGCTAATCCTCAAACGCCATTCGAAAGATATTTCAATCTATCAACATGCCAGAAGATTTTAGGATGGAGCAACTCCAGAAATAGACCAACCATCGGGACCCTTTTGATTCATTTGTATGCAAAGGCAGACGCCGGGCTTGGAAAATAAATCCCCAAAAAAGTAATTCCGTAAACAAATGGGAAAGGAAATCGCTGAAGGGATACCGGGAAAAAGGCAATAATTCAATGATGAATTAATAGGCGCTGGCAATTAAGGAAGGGAGAGAAAAAAGATCCAAAGATCTCCAAAGAAAGTTGGAGTTGGCACAGCTGCTGCTCTTCGATTCGCTCCAGAAACAGACTTCCGGGGAATACCCGGGCCTTAAAAAAAAAGTGAGGGGAAACATCAACAAAAAAACCGAGAAAAAAGAGGGAGCTGCAGGCCAATGGCAGGAGGAAAAAAAGTGAAGATGCCAAGCTGACGCAACATTTGCATTCGGAAAGAGATTTATTGAGGCAACTCCCCCTGGCTTTTCACGCCACTCCAAACAGTCAACTTCAACTTCTTCTACCAACTTCCCTCATTGTTTTGCCAAGATTTTTCAAAAGACAAAAGCCGACAGGCAGCCACCATGATGATGATCATCATGATGATGATGTTTGATGAGTGTGCCATAGTATCTCATTTTCTCACTCTCAAAGATGTGTGTGTGTGTGTCTTATGTTTAATCAAAAGTTTTTTTCTTTACAATTCAATTTGAAGTTGTTGTTTCTTATGTAAGTTTTGTGCCGCTTTCACTTGAAAAGTAAACAACAATTAAGGGAAAGACACACAAACGAAGGAAATGCTACACAAGAATATCAACACTTTTTCCAATTTTTGAGATAAACATTTCCCGCAGAGTTTCCATGTCTCGAGTTCATGGTCAAACAAGAAAATGGAGTTTTCATTTTAGGGAAATTATAAATCCATCAACGCTGAGAACTTGAAAAAAGTCAAGTGTTTGGTATACGAAGGAACCCTCTCTCCTGAGTTGCTGACAATTGACTAATGAGGGTTACAAGAACCCCGAAACAAATCATAAATATTCTCGTTTTTTGTTGACAATCTCAATTGCCTTTTGCTAGGAGCGAGGAATTCTCAGAGTTCTCTTATCGAGAGGGAAATCTTTTGCTTATCTCCAAAGAAGGAGAGTCGTGTGCAATAAAATTAAATGATGTAACGAAAAACCCCCAGCAGAAAATAAGAAAAATGTCTGGATAGGAAATAAATAGAACTTTTAATACCCTGGAATTGGGTTCTAAAAAATAACATATCCAATATAGCTATTATAAAACAAAATAAAAAATATATGCTGACAATTTTAAGAATTTTCTTGCTAAAATATAGAGAAAATATATAGAGTTCAGAGAAATATATAAATTACTCTTTGGAAGAGCCTTGACTCGCGAGTTAGAAAATTCTCTGGCCTCTCACACAAATGCTCGACGATTACAAAATGTAAACAAATATTAACAGAAAAAAAGCAAGAAAAAGACGATTGCAACTCAAGGTTAATATATTTTCCGAGTTGTTTGTCCCTTGAGTGTAATTAGAAATTCATAAAAATGCTTGTTTTTGTTGAAGTGCAAATCCTCATTTCCATTTTGTGTGTTGTTCCCATTCTCCAAAACTCAACATGCCCTGTCCAAGGGCTAGGCGCCTTCCGCAGATCCTTGAAGGTTTGTGGGTCTCCTTCTCCCTGGTCTGTTTGCTCGTTTACCAATTTCCGCTGTCTACCTGCCTCCGGAGATTATCTTCAGTCAGTGGAACGAGAAAAGACGACCAGAAAAAAAAGGGGGAATATTCACATTGCACGTGCATAAAACCTTTGGGTTTTGCGGTTACTGGTTTCCTCATTTGTCATACACTGTAGAAATGGGGCAAGTCGATTTATATATTTGGACTATTATTCCCTTTTTCGCCTTCTAGGAGAAAAGAACCAAAAAATTTGACTTTAATCTATAATTATCAATAAAATTGTGGAATTTTACTGTTGAAATCAAATTTTAAAAATAGCACAACTAAGCCAAAAATTCATTAATTTCAATTCGGTAAGCTTTCCAATGTTAGTTTTTGTTAGCTTAATAAATCTGCATACCAAATTTTAAATTTTAAAAAATTTAAATTTTTGATCAAATTTTTCATAATTTTTACGATGTAAAATTTTGATAAAAATTTTAAAAATTTATTTTTCTACCAAACATGCCTAGATAGATTCGCCTGTTGATGCTGATCAGGAATATATATGCTTTATAGGGTCGGAAATGATTCATTCACTGCTTTCCATAGTTTTGAATGTAATTATAATACTGAAACATAGATATTTCTCAGTGTACCTTATGGTCGGGTGAACTCCACTCCGCCTTCTACTATATAGCCCCCTGTGACCCCCCCTGACCATATTCTTCCAAACACGTGTCAGATCTGTTCATTAATCACCCTTCTTTTGATTGCCCCCGCGAATATGTGGCGGCTCATCATCATTTTCCAATCTCTCCCACTCCGCGGACCAACTTCAATAAATTGCCATGAAATTAACAAACTTGAACCAAACACAACACACAATGTAACCATGATAAATCGTTAGATCAAAACATTAAATGTTAATTTTAAAGTGGCTCCAGGGGATAGAGTTTGAGACCAGAAGGAAAGCGTGATGTTGAGGAGGAGGCACCCAATCCCGACCAAGAAGTCCATTAGCATGGCGTCCGGATGACAAATTGACTTCGTTAGATGTTTTTTTTTTTTTTTTTTTTTTTTTTTTGCCATTTCCCTCGACGTCTCCGCCATGGAAATTGGAGGCGCAAATTGAAAAATTATTTAGCCTAAGGTTATTGAATCTAAAGCGTTGATTGTAGGGATTTTGTACAAGAGGGAAATGAGTACACCTAAAGATTTTATTGTCTCTTGATAATAAGAAGGTTTTCAATATATTACATGTTTTTATCCATATTTTAAAAGGATAATCAAAAGATTCTAATGAGCATAATTCATTACGAAAGCATTTCTAATCACCCTATTATATCCAAAATTATCTCAGATTTTTTTTCACTGTACACTTTTCGAAATTGCATTGCAATTATTACTTTGCTGACTGTCTAGACAAATTTCCTCGTACATAGTATAATTATAAACAAGAGTTGCTGTTGCTGCAGGCTTTTAAGCGTTTCATTTATCAGTCGATCTTAATGTGAGGCCTGACGAGTGTCCTGAAATTGTTCAAATATCCTGTTTAATTGAGCATAAACGCAGGGGCGCCCACGCAACGAGCCAGTAGGAAAAGTGCATGTCAAAATAGTGTGTTCTTGTTGTAAAGTTTTCCGTTTTTTATTGACCACGCACACGACACTCTGTCTAGGCGCCATCTGGCGGTGGGTGGTGGCAATTCCGACAGGTCACAAGTCAAAGAAAAGGGTGCGAAAAGGAGACACCAGTAAAGAATAGCGAGAGGGAGAGAAAGGGGAGAAAGAAAGGTAGCCAACAGGAATGGTAATAAATAATAATAACAGGACTCTGATCGGTCAACTCCTTCTCCTCCCACGCCTCTCTTTCTCCTCCTCCTCCCACGCCTCCCTTTCTCCTCCTCCCACTCCTCTCTTTCTCCTCCTCCTCCAACTACTGTTTCTCCAACCCCTTTTTGCCCCTTTAATTACTCTTTCTCCTTTCCTTTTGTCATTTGCCTTGCACTGTTTTCGTTTCATGCTTCGCTGCTGTTAGTTGGGCGACTAAAAAAAGTTAGAACTGCACAAGTCTAATGTACCGACTATATAGTACCCTTTCATGTAAGAAAAGAGCGATCCTACTAGACATATATATGAAAAAAAAAAAGCATTTCAGTAAAAGAGTAAATAATAGTAAACGAGTATTGAATATTTAAACAATATAATATATTTTATGAATTTATATATTCTTCATTTTTTGTAATATCCCTCAGTAATTGATAATACCCTATAGACAATATATAAAAATGAACAGACACAAGTTGCGCTTCTAGCCGCAGTTTAAGCCCAGCAACTTTTGTATCTGTTGTCGCATTCTCACTCCTCCCCCTCCCTCGGGGCGAAATAAATAAATGGCCCAAAGCAATTGCAGTTTTATGCATTTCCAAAGTGTTTTTTGGCATGTTTCGAGATACGTAGTTATTTTACCAGAATTTATTTGTTGCGCTTAAGTTGGGATCTACGAGGACTAAATGGTGGTGGGTCCAAGGGGGTACCTTTATGTGGTTGTTCATGTTCCAGGATAATCTAGCAGGCTTTAATCGCACAGTGGTTGAAAGGTATTTAAAAAGAAAGTTAGGAAAACGAAGTGATATTTTCTGGTAGAGATGAAATTGTTTATAAAAAACTGAGAGGGTTTGAAAACTGAAAAACAAATGAAGATTTTACTTCTGTTAAATTAAAAACATGCTTGTTTAAATCCCATGAAGCCCTTAAAATAATAAAAACTAGTTCATATAATTTAGTTTTCTAATAGAAACTGCACCTAAAAATTGAAATCTATCAAGACTTTTCCACTGTAAAGCTTTGGGACTAGGCATTTTCCACATCCTCCCCTCAGCGTGTTGTGGTCAATTCTTTATGTTTTAACGGCAATTTCCATGTGCGTGGCACTTAAAAAAAGAGCACAATAAAAAAAATTGATATAAAATTCAGGGATAATGGAAGAGGAAGCAGGGAAAACCGGGAAAGTTAGGGTGGGGGCTTTGTGGATATGAGAAGGAAGTCGAATTGCATGTCAAACGCAAGTTTCGAATTTGATTTAATTTACGAGCCAAGACAAATTACAGACCCGACAGCTCGAACTCTCACATATGCCGCCAAGAATCGGAAAAGCAGGCGGAAAATGTGCGGGACTCTGCTGCGTGACATGACAACATGGAACGCTTTTCTTTAGCGCTTTTCATTACGTTTTGGGTGCGTCAACTTTGTTTGTTTGTTTGACCCCCCCGCAGAGTGTCGGGAACCAGACACTTTTGCAAACATTTCTCAGCTAATTAACAATGACATGTCTGTAAAGGGGAATGTATGTGTCTCGTTAGGAGTCTATAAATAATTGTTTTCTACTTTTATTGTGCTTTTTATTAACTTTCCAACTTCTTCACCATAACTTTAAACTCTGTTGGGAAATAAACTAAAACTATATTTGTTTAGTTTGCCTTTAGGCAGAACTTTAAATTGATTTCAAACTCCAAAAGTATTTCCAATGCACTCCTGACAGTAAAAAATCAATTAATCTGGTGAAAAAAAGAGTATCTTTAAATAGAAAAAACTGTAATAAAGATTTAATTCGTTGTTTTAGTTGCCCATGGATTTTATAGGAATTATTTGATGAGACTGTAAAGATATTTAGTGCAACAGTTCTTAAAGCCTCCGGCACGCACTGTACAGATCCAAAGATCCCCAGAGAAGATAGTGTCCAGAGAGAAAGAGAGATACTCCATTTCCAGTGAACTGTAATTACTTTGACCTGCTTCTGTTTCTGTATTTTTTTAGAAGGAGAGAAAGAATAGCAAAGAACAACAAGGAGGAGGCTTATATGCATTGGCCCCATGACTTGTCTACACTTTTGCCAGACAACTTATCTCCTCCTCCGACCAGGCCTCCAACAGCCAGGCAGCCTGGTAATACTTTGAAATCCGATTCAATTGGATTTCAATGCGTCGTCTCCTCGTTCTGTCTGTTCCCCCCAAACAACTTTGTGTGGCGACACTCTTTTCACTTTCGATACGCAATGCAGCATTGTCAAGAGTTGTTGGTTTCGATTTTTCCACCATTTTCCCTCCCTTCAACATGCAGCTTGTCAAGGAAAAACTAGGGAATGGAACTGATAATGACGCCAGATTATGGCACGCAATGCAATTTGAACTTTAAGTTCACATTTTAATGGAATTTCGGTTGATTTACATGACAGAGGTCGCGGCCTGGCATCGTTTTTTTTTTGTCCCCTATGCCACATCATCTTCTACCATGTTGCGTCTCTTTAGGTTTCCATTGCGTGTGGGTAATGGACATGTAATGCTCTACTCACAGGGAAATGACCAGAAAATGTGGCAAAAAGTTCACTGGAGTAAAGTTTAACGAGGCAGACTAGAAGCAATAATATTTGGTGGGTTTTGATAAGACCAAAGCTAGGAAGATTGTATTATAAAAGTGTTTTTATTGCAGGTCAAGAAAGATTGTTTTGGTAGATGATCAATCTTTTTATAACTAATTTATCAAAGAAGTAAAGTCAACAATGATTAATACGGGTAGATAAGTTCCTTATTTTGTACTAAACAGTATATAAAATCGATGTAAACACTAGTTTATCAAATATATTCGATGTCTCAGTACAGAAAAGATCTTAAGTACGAGTAATGAGTTTCAGGTTTTTTAAGTAACCTAACATGAATAGTTTTTAAATGACGCCAGGACTAATGGCATCCTAATGTCCCTGTCTTGATCATTAACAAAAAGTCATGTAAAGTCAATATAGTTTCTTAAAAAACTACTAAAATTCTCCTGACTTTTGCCTGTTTCTAATCTCAATAATGAGTCTGGACGTGATTTGCTACTGTGACCACGATTGCAGTCCCGCAGCGAACGGCATTTCAGGCATAATGATGCAAAGGTCCTGTCCGAGCGAGTGTCCTTGGCTTGCTATCCGCCACGTTGATTTTATAGTTTTTCGCTAATTAAGAAAATGTCGAAGGAATTCGAAGAACGTGAGACGTGTGAAAAGCACCGAGGCGCACGTACCACAGAAAAATTGTAAAAAGGAAAAGCGAAAGAAGGAAGGGATCTTTGCACGGTTACAGGATAGATGGGATCATGGGTCGCAGCTGGTCCTGTGAGCTTAATAAATTTGCGGTCTTCCCGCCCCGAAAAAAGGACATGCGGCAGGAATATGTATGTGTCTAGGGAAATTCGAGCAAATTTTCCATGCCCTACCTGAGAATGGTACCGCTTTTCCAGGTAGGATTTTCAAACCAGATCTATTCAGGTAGAGAAATAGCAAAAGGGCGCAGAGGAAACCCTCGAGTAATTGTGCAAGGACAAAGAATAGAGAGACAGCCGGCGTTGACATTGGCCAAACGGCCAGAAGGATCAGCTGCTTGTCCTTACGTCTGGTTTTCCATCAGTATAAAAAGCGCGTGCAGCTGAGAGCGGCAGCTAGAAGCATTTCAGCCAGCGATCGTGATAGATCTTAGATCCTAGATCCTTAAATAACAAATTCAAAATTACAAAAAATTACTGAACCAAAGTCTAACCTAGTTATTCCATCAACTAAGTCAAGGTGTGTGTCCTCATCAGGACCAACAATCTCAAGAACTATAACTAAGGAAATATCTTCTTTATATATTTCCAGAATTCTCGCAGAATTCTCTAAACGATCTTAAATCAACCACAACAACATGGGCGAACTCGAAGAGAAGGAAACCCCACCAACTGAGACCACAACAGCAGGCCAGCAGGATACGCTGGAGGAGCCCAAGGAAACCGATAAAATGCTGGACAAAAAAGAGGAGGACGCCAAGGAGAAGACACCGAGTCCACAGACCTCAAAGCCTGCATCTCCCAATGCCGGCAAGAAGTCATCGCCCGTTTCAGATAAGAAAACCGGAGCAGATTCGACTGAATCCGACAAAGCAAAGCCTGGTAACGGCGAGGAGATAATCGATATACCCGCCGAAAACGGCACCAAGCCCGAGGGAGGAGATGACAAGAAGATCAGCAAGGAGGAGCGTGAGGTGAAGCCTAAAAAGATCCCAATCGGTGGCCTCAAGCTGCCCGGTTTCTTCATGAAGAATAAACCCAAGGCCGAGGGTGATGGAGCCGAAGGTGAGCTGCTCGAAAAAGAGAAGGAGGAAGAAAAGGATAAGGAGGCCAATGGTGAGGCCGCCGCTGCCTCCGGCAAAGATGAGCAGAAAGCACGTCCAGGACTTGGTGAGCGCCTGCGTAGCTTCTTTGCCCGCAAACCATCTGCCGAAAAGGAGAAGAAACAGCTGGTCAATGGAGATGCCGATGCCAAGTCGGGTAAGTTAACTGGGATTACATGGTCTGGATTTATTAGATGTGAATATTGAGACCTTGTTCCTATTTATTAACCCCTAGAAACGCAATCCTAACTAGTCCATATTCTTACAGAAGCCACTGCTGAAGCAGCACCGGCTGAGGATGCCTCGGAGGCACCGCCCCAGAAGCGAGGTCTGCTGAATGCCATCAAGCTGCCCATTGCCAATATGATACCCAAGAAGAAGAGCAACGACGATGTGGAACTGGGTTTGGGCAAAGCCGGCCTGGCCTCAATGGAGACTCTTGATGATTCGCTAAAGGATCAAGACACCGTTGACAGGGCTCCGGCCAAAACCAATGGCACCGATGATCTGAAGAGTGATCTTAAGGATGAGAAGCTGGCAGCAGAACAGAAACTGGCCGCCGAGGAGGAGGAACGTGAGCGACCCGTCTCCTTGCTGAGCCGCCTGCGCGGCTACAAGTGCAGTGTGGACGATGCGCTGATTGTGTTTGGCATTCTGCTGTTTGTGCTGCTTCTGGCCGTGATCGGTTATGTGCTGACGCATGAGACTCTGACATCGCCGCCGCTTCGCGAAGGACGCTTCATCCTGGCGGTGACAAGCTGCGGCCCCGTGGAGGGTGTCAAGGAGGATGGAGCCTTTGCCTTCCGTGGCATTCCGTATGCCAAGCCACCGGTGGACAAGCTGCGTTGGAAGCCGGCCGAGCTGATAGATGACATCAATTTGTGCTGGAATGATACATTGCCGACGCACAACAGCAGCGTTGTGTGCACGCAGAGACTGGGTAATGGCACCACCGTGGGCGACGAGGACTGTCTGTATCTGGATGTGGTCACTCCACATGTGCGTTACAACAATCCCCTGCCAGTAGTTGTGTTGATTGGCGCTGAATCTTTGGCTGGGCCATCGCCGGGAATACTTCGTCCATCGGCCCGTTACTCTCGCTCCCACGATGTGATCTTTGTGCGTCCCAACTTCCGCCTGGGCGTGTTCGGTTTCCTCGCTCTTGATGCTCTATCCAAGGAGTCACATCCACCGACATCGGGCAACTATGCGCTCACCGATATCATTGCCGTGCTCAAGTGGATTAAGCTGAATATTGTGCACTTTGGTGGTGACCCCAAGTCGGTGACATTGCTGGGACATCGGGCCGGAGCCACACTGGTAACCGTCTTGGCCAGCTCGCCCAAGCTTCAGAACCTGTACACCAGGGCGTGGGCCTCATCCGGTTCGGCTATTCTTCCCGGAAAACCACTGACGGAGTACGAGAAGGTCAACCAACAGCTAATGGGCACCCTGGAGTGCTCAGATGTGGAATGTTTGCGCGAGGCATCCAGCGAACGCTTGTGGGCCGCTACTCCCGACACCTGGCTGCACTTCCCCGTGGATCTGCCACAGCAGCAAGAGGTCAATTCCAGCGGCAGTCGTCACGAGTGGCTCGTTCTTGACGGAGATGTGCTCTTTGAACATCCATCGGAGTCGTGGAAACGCGAACAGTTCACGGACAAGCCGCTGCTGGTGCTGGGAGCCACGGCTCATGAGGCGCACACCGAGAAACTACGCGAGCTGCATGCCAACTGGACGCGCGAGGAGGTTCGCGAGTATCTGAGCAACTCACAAATCGGAGCCATGGGTCTCACCGATGAGGTCATCGATATGTACAATGCCAGCAGCTATGCGTCGCTAGTTTCCATCATCTCGGACATACGGAGCGTGTGCCCGCTGCTGACGAATGCCCGGCTGCAGCAGAGCGTTCCCTTCTATGTGGTCACCCAGGGCGAGGGCGTCGATCAGCTGGCCACCGTGGATGCCGATGTGCAGGCCATCCTGGGACGCTACGAGCCCCATACCGTGGAGCAGCGACGCTTCGTGTCGGCCATGCAGCAGCTCTTCTACTACTATGTGTCCCATGGCACGGTGCAGTCGTTCGATCGCAACCGCAGAGTCATCAATGTGGGCCAGGATGCGCAGCCGCAGGAGGACTACCCGACGTGCAACTACTGGATCCAAAAGGATATAGTGCCGCGATATGCGCGCGTCGATTAAGCGAACTAAAAATCTCTAAGACCCCCGCTGCTTTTCCTTCTTTCTCACCTTTCTTTATCCGGCTGAAGATCGATTAATCGCCTGACAATTCCAAATTTTATACTGTATTATAGATTTATAATTTATAATTATTATAACATTTGGTTAGAAGTGCGTGTTAATCGATCTCCAGTTGGCTTGTAGCTGTAGCTTCGTTTATCCCTTCGACTTCGTTTCGAGTTTAGTTTAGCCTAAGTGAATCTAGTGTTTATATATATATATATAAAGATATGTCTTAGTTCTCGTACAGTTTAAGTTGTAAGCTCTTTAAGGAACACTACTTACACCATCATGCGTCGTCTCTCTAATCTTAATCATTGATAGAACACACAACCCAAACACACTGACACAAACAAACAGCAAGAAAAGAACACAAATAAAACATCACAAAAAATATATATAGAAAATTATACTTGAAAAGTATAGATCTGCGTCTTTCAACTATCCAACAAAAAAACACAAAGCACACACTTATCTATATGCTATTTACTATAAAACCATATATACAACTAAGAAGGAGTACATTTTGCCACATAGGTTTTTGATTTCTGCCAAAAACTGATCACCGAACGACCAACGATGACGACGAAACCGTTTTTGATACTACTTTTACACCGAACTCAAGACTCAAGAGCATGAAGCAAACCGAATTCATTTAGATTTAGATCGCTGAAGATCGAGGAACTGTTCCCAAAACCTTTGAAAGTGTTGCAAACATTTCGAGAGACTGTCAGAGGAATGAATTTAAGAACAAATATATATATTTAATTCCTTCCTTTAATTCACTTGGGAGTATCTATAAATACGCCCATAATATATATATATAAATCAGATATTTGTATGGATAACAAAACACACATTTTTGTATAGCTTTATATGTATGTATATTATTAATAATCGAACCAACATTCTCCATTGTTTTATACAAGACTTATACTCACAACAGATATTATAATACGAGCATTCAAAATTGAAATCAAGAATCAAAATGAGAGAAATTGGAAAGTACATTTATGTTCACAAAATGTTTATAATAAATGAAAAACTTAAAAATTAAAAAAACTAATACTAAGTTCAATTAGCTGCAGTCAGTTGTTCTACCCTAACTTGGCTAGGATGGATGGCACGTCTCAACGTTTGGAACTATTCACCTTGTAGACGCGACACTTGTTGTCGGTGAGGGCGGCCAGATAGGATCCCGCCTGTGTGGCCACCGGGCAAATGTCATAAATCACCTCGTTAACGGGCATTGTCTGGACGCGTTCCTCACGCCGCACATCATGCATCATCAACACCTTTTTGTCCTGCAGATAGCCCAACACCAATGTGTTATCCTCGACGCCCAGTTGCGTAGGACGTGTCATTACGGGTGTGGACTGGGAGCCATAAATGGTGGCCTTAACCTTCAGCACCGGCGTATTATCCATCTTCTCCAGCTGGCCGAGTATGAAGCGGGAATGAGGTATATTTGAATTGGCTCTAACTGAAATGAGCAGCGTGTCCAGCAAGGCATCGTATTGCAAGGACAGGAATGGCCCTTCCACGTTGAGCCGGGTGGGCACGGCCGTATCGCTGGCTGACGCGTACTCGTAGAATGTGAGGGCTGTCAGCTGGCAGACCAGAAAGCCGCCGCTGGTAAAAGTCTTATTCGGTGGCACCGTAACTATGTGTATCACAGGACTAAAGTTATCTAGAAAGAAAAAATGGCAATTTGAAGATTCAATGGGTTATCTAACAAAGCTTAAACACTCACCATTGGCTTGGAATTCGCAGAGTATGTTCTCTGGAAAGCGCAGGTCATAAATGTAGACTCCTCCTCGCAAGTCGCCGGTGTAGAGAAAATGCTCACGCTCGTTACGATCCAGGGCGCACGACCACAGCATCTTGTCGTGGGCCGAAAACATGGACGAGCATAAACGCGTGCGGATGTCAAATAGCTTGATCTTCGGCTCCCGGCTGGCCACCGCAAGCAGCTGCTGCGACTCGCTGAACGCCGCATCCCTGACCAGCAAGGCCGAGGTATGCAGGAAATGCAATGGCTTAAAGCTAGGTGGATCAATGAAGCGCATTCCGTAGCCGGGAAACAGATTCTGGGCACTCTTCTGCGAGGCCACCAGCACCGAGTGCTTGGCGGAGAAGAGCAGCACCCGACAGCCCGGTTCCCGGGTGATCTCAAAGTTCTTCTCCATATACAGGCGATGGGAAGCCAACTGGTGGATGCTCAAGAGCCCACTGCTGCCGGTTGCCTCCTCCGCAAAGGCTCCACGAACGCCGCCCACTCTAACCAATTCCTTCATGCGATCGTAGTTAGCCTGCAGCACTAACAGCTTCTCAGAAGCGAGGGCGTTGCACAGCTTCGACGTGGCCAGCTCCGTAGTCAATTCCTGATTGCGCCGGCGCTCCGCCTCCAGCTGCGTTTTAATACCCGTGTCCAGCATTTGGATCTTTTTGGCATACAGATGACGGATGTCGCGGTATGTGGCTTTCGTCTTACACTGCGGACACACTTTTACAGAGGACTGACGCTGGCTTTCGCCTAGCCAACGACGGATGCAGGACTCGCCAAAGAGATGGCCGCAACGCAGCGAGACCAGACGATGTTCGCCACACATCTCCCAGTGTTCCAGGCAAATGGGACAAGTCATGCCATCGTCATCGTCTTGGTCCAGACAGGCAAGTTTGGCCTCTGGGGACGATTTTTTAGAGCTAGAATTGGATGCGGGGGAGCCGCGCTTGCGTTTCTTTGGTGGCGACGGAGTGTCCAGTGAGATCACAGCGGAATCCTCGCCACGAGACCGCCGGGAACCGGTTGGTGGACTAGCCACGGGTTGAGCATTTTCAATGGGAGAAACCGGAAGAGGCGCATCCCCAACGCCTTCAGGTTGTTCCTGTTCTTCCTGGTCAATGACAGGCTCGCCTGGCACTTCCTGTGAATCCTCATTTACGTCGGGTTGGTCCTGATTTGGCTCAGGTACGGGATCAACAAAACCATGATCCCTAGGCGCCCCTAAAGGCTCTGCAGGCTCGGCATCCTCTCTGGATTCCCCATCATCGGGATTAATAAAATCTCCCATCGTCCTTCCTCATCCAGCATTTCAGGCTTCGTGCCCCGGCTTCTTTCAGTGCACTTCCTCAGAAACAGTAGAGATCAATGCGGAGAAGCGTTTGGCATCGAGTGTTTTAGTTTTTATGATTTTAATTGCAAAGGCGTCGGAAGCTACGCCTAAATTAAAAAAAAAAACTTTCAAAATATAAAATTTTGCCGTAATTTATATAAAGTGACCTTTTTCGGGTGTTGAAATAAATCAAACCAAGCTGAACAAACAAAGTGCGATATTTTTATAGCTTTGCCATTCATCGCGAATATAAACTATCGATTACCTCTCACGCTAAATGAACAAAGCGCGATATTTTTATGGCTTTGGTAAACGGTTACTCTAAATTAGTCAACGCGAAGTGCTGTATCGCCGCCATTCGAAAAAAGAAAACTTTAATCCAGGAAAAGCGCGTAGAAAATCGCAATAAATACTCACCCAAAAACTTTATTAAAGTCTTCGATTCCCCGGCAAATAAAAGCTGCAGCTCAAAGAGCTGAATTTAAAGCGACAAAAAACTCGACCGGCATTTCGCATTTGCGGCAAAAAGTTGCATCAGTGTGGGTGTGCGTTCCGTTCGATCCAGCAGCCAAAACGAGAGGGAGAAAGCTTTTAAAATCGAGGTGTTAATTGCTTAAGAGGTGCGTGAAGTTCGCGGCAAGCTAAATACATCGTAAAGGTGAAATTGGCGCAACGCAATTTGCAGGCTGACTAACCCGCCGCCTCCCCTGTGGCCTTGAACTCAACAGTTTTGGCTGCTTGCCGTCCACACAGGCACACAAACAACAACTACACGGGCAACTGCGACGCCACACACACACACGCGCAAAAGCCGCTTCCACTGACCGACTGACTGTTATATAGCAGAGCGAAAGAGAGGCAAGAACGCTTGAACCGAGAAAGCCATGGCCGAGCCAAGGACGCCCGAGAAGCTGTTGACGGCCAAGCCGCCGGTGTTCCACCACAACAGCCACAGCCCCAATGCCTCACTGCAGCTGCCCAGTCCCATCATCACGCGGCGTACACGCACGGCCTCGACGTAAGTCCTCCACCTCCTTTGGCTATGCCTTTCCCTTTCCTGCCGCCACCTCTAACAACCAACCATGTCCTTGCCAAATCAAAAAAAAGCACTAGGGCCTATTACAGAGGCCTTCTGTGGGGGATTTTTGGGGGCCACAATTTCCCCTTATCAATTTTCTGCTTTTGGGGATGTTATTTAAATGTTTAGATTAAAACTTATTAAATTTTTTCCCAAATTAAACTTTTTTTCTGATTTATGAATAGATATTTGAAGTATACATTAAAATTCAAGCAAAGACCAAAATTAGATCCCTCAAACCCCTGTTAAAATTAAATCTCTACTACTCTCATCTTTCGACATTGATTTAATTGCCTCTTCCTGCTTCTCCCTTTCCGTATTAAACGCTGCCAAAAACCCAACACGCGCCAACGCAAAACAAAAACACATCCTAAAAAAATAAATGTAGCTCCGCTCGGGCCCTGGAAAATCCGGTGGTAACCGGAATTGTGAAATCCTTCAGCCGAAGCAAGGGACACGGCTTCATTACACCCAGCGGCGGTGGCGAGGACGTATTCTGCCATGTTTCAGAGTAAGTTGATGAATAATGCATACTCGAGACCTTTTTTACAAAAATGTACATATTATCGTTTCGCAGCATCGAAGGTGAATATGTACCCATGCCCGGGGACGAGGTCAAATACCGTCTGTGCGCCATTCCACCCAAATACGAGAAACACCAGGCGGTGCATGTGCAGATTAGCAACCTAACGCCCGAGGTGCACCACAAGTGGGAGGAGCCGGTCTTTGGCTCATCCCCCGCCAAGTAAAGCAGGAGCAGGAGCGGGAACGAGGGAAAGGGAGCGGAAAAGCGAGCAGTTAAAAGCTAAACGGCCTTCCACGAAATTTAATTGAACTGGAGCACGCCACCCGGGAGCAAGCGAGAAATGGAAGGAAAACAGAGAACGAAACACTAACCATGAAAGTAAACGAAAGCAGCCGCCAGGAAAGCCAGCCAGCCAGCCGACCAGTACAGAGATCGTAATACAATATAGAATAACAGGCCTGCCATCCAGCCAGCCAACAGCAGCAACAGCATCAGAGTTTCAATTGAACACTTAATTAGAATTTAAGCTAAGCTATGGAAACAAAATGGTCACAAACATTGCCTTCTTCCCTCTGGAAGAGCGAACCGAAACCAGTTTCGAGTCTATATTATTGAAAACGTATGTATTTGGAAATTGAAATTGTTATTCGAGATGCCGGCCAGCATCCAGCATGCCCGCCTGCGGTTCTGCGTGTATGTGTGGAGCCTGTATCAGTAATTACTTTTAATTATAATTGAAACATCTGAATGTGTTCGCCCAGCAAGCAAGTAAAATGCTCTCAGTAATTCACTTTATTATTAAAACAAAAGCTGCAAAACAATCGCCATTGTTGTTGTTTCGGGAAATGGGAGCAACCGTTGAATATTATCTACATGTTGATATATGTATATATTTGGAAAGCACAGTGGCGGTAACTTTAATGTGTTCTTAACGTTTATTCCTTAGTGAATTTTATACCATTGCAGGGTATTATAATTTCAGACAGATGTTTGCAACGCAGTGAAGGTGTCACCTCCGACCATATAAAGTATATAGCTACATATATTGTTGATCACCATCAACAGCCGAGTCCATCTTGCCATGTCCGTCTGTCCGTTTCTACGCAAACTAGTCCCAAAGTTTTGAAGCTATCTGAATGAAACTTTGTGGTTAGTCTTCTATATAATCTCACTCAAATATATGTCGGAGCGGGCCGGATCGGACGACTATATCATATAGCTGCCATAGGAACGATCGAAATATTTTTACGAAAAAAATTATAACTTTTTTAGTTTTCAATAGATTTTCATCAAATTTAAAATGTAACTATTTTATAGTATTATACAATTTTATGTACAATTTTATAAAAAACGGACTAATATATCATATAGCTGCCATTGGAACGATCGAGAAATTAATACAATTAAAAAGTATAATTTTTTCAGTTTTCAACAGATATTTATAAAATTTTATATTATTCTATTATTTTGTGTAAAATTTAATGAAAATCGGGCAACTATATCATATAGCTGCCATAGGAACGATCGATAAATGAATATAATCAAAAATTACAACTTTTTTAGTTTTCAACTGATCAAGTTTGAGATATAGCCATTATTTATATAGTCATTTCTTTAATTATAAAATTTGGTGTAAAATTTTATGAAAATCGGACTACTATATCATATAACTGCCATACAAACAGTTTTTAGATATAGAGGAAAATGCAAAACTGTGAATGTAAAACTTTAAATATAATATGTATAGGTTAAAGAAATTAATGCATGCATTACTTTATTGTTTTTTAACATTATATACTTATTATGTTCTATTATTATTATATTCTATTAATTCCTAGTCATCTGCAAGGGTATATAAACTTCGACGTACCAAAGCTAGCTTTCTTTCTTGTTTAAGCTGTGTGAACTACTAATCCTCAAATTTGTACAGCTTTTTGGGGCTACAAGGTTTAAAAACAAAGCCTACTTATCGGCTGGAAGAAGATTTAAATAATTTGCTAATTATTTGTAGGACATTCCACCAGAACGAACCTATTGTTTTAACCGCTATTGTACGGCTTTTCAGCCCGCCACCTTAATTAGTGTGGCCAGTTGCGTTTAAGCTTTCTAGGCAATGCCACAAAAACATCTGCCACGACCTCTTAAAAAATAAAATTTGGACAAAAAATGATTTAGTTTAAAAAGCGCTGGCGTAAAAACACAATAGTTTTATAATCTGATATATCATAAAAAATTAAAGCAGCCTCCAAAAAATCCGTCACGACCAAAAAAAGCTCGACGCTTGAGTGACGTGGACCTGGAGACATTTGTTGTTATTTTACCTGTTTAGTGATTAGGAAAACAGGTGAGCCAAATCCGACAGCATTTCATATATTATAGCCTCTATATTAATTTAGATCAGCATGTCTGCGGTACGGCGAAAGGCACCCGGCAGCGATGCCGACCAGGAGCTGCTCATCGAGGACATCTCAAAGTCGCACAAGGAGAAGGAGGACGAAAAGCCCGATATTCGCGGCGATCGAAGGAATATAGCCATCCTGCTGTTCCTGTACATCCTCCAGGGCATTCCCATTGGCCTCATTGCCGCCATTCCCATGCTCCTCCAGAATCGAGGAGCGAGCTACAAACAGCAGGCCGAGTTCTCCTTCGCCTATTGGCCCTTCAGCCTGAAGCTGCTATGGGCCCCGATTGTAGACTCTCTGTACGTGCGCCGCTTTGGACGGCGGAAATCATGGTTGGTGCCCGTGCAGTACCTCCTGGGAGCCTTTATGCTGCTCCTATCGCTCCACGTGGACCGCTGGCTGGGCGGAAATGGCGTGGAGCCGAATGTACCGCTGCTGACGCTTCTATTCTTCCTGCTGAACTTCCTTGCTGCCACTCAGGACATCGCTGTTGATGGCTGGGCGCTGACCATGCTCAAGCGCTGCAACGTGGGCTATGCCTCCACCTGCAACAGTGTTGGCCAGACTGCTGGCTACTTCCTGGGCTATGTGGTCTTCATCGCCTTGGAGTCAAAGGACTTTTGCAACACGTACTTGCGGGATGTGCCCATGGATGAAGGATTTGTGACGCTGCCGCGCTTCCTTTGGTTCTGGGGCATCACGTTTGTGGTGGCCACCACTCTTGTGGCAATTTTCAAGAAGGAGAACGACATCGAGGACGCTCACATGGACGCTCGGTACACGGAGGAGCACGAGCTAAACATTCATCAGAGCTACAAGATCTTGTGGGACATGGTTCGCAAGCGACCGGTGCAGATCCTGGCCGTCATCCTGCTCACCGTTAAGGTGACTTTCGCCGCCTCTGATGCAGTTACCAGCCTGAAGCTGATCGATGCCGGCGTGCCCAAGGATAAGCTAGCTTTGCTGGCCATTCCCCTTGTACCGCTGCAGCTCATCCTGCCGCTAGCGGTGGGTCGTTACACAAATGGCCCCCGACCCATGGACGTTTACCTTAAGGCCATTCCCTATCGCCTCATAATGGCCACGGTGGCCACCTTCTTTGCGTATGCCACACCATACATCATTCAAGGTGGCACAGTGCCAGTTTACTACTACGTTTTGCTGGTGATCAACTATGCCTGCTACCAGGTATTCCTCTACTCCATGTTCGTGGCCGCCATGGCCTTCTTTGCCAAGATCTCGGACCCAGCGGTGGGCGGCACCTATATGACATTCCTCAATACGCTGTGCAACCTGGGCGGCAATTGGCCCAACACCGTGGTGCTCTGGCTGGTGGATGTGCTCACGTGGAAACAGTGCTCCAATAATGCGGCCAACAGCTGCCAGGGCAAGGAGGAACAGCAGGTAAGTGCATCTTTGAATTAAATATATTCCTTTTCCTAACAATATACCCATATATCTTCTTCATGTTTGCAGAGCTGCGAGGCAGGGCAGGGCAAGTGCGAAATCACCTTCGATGGTTATTACTTGGAATCCGCGTTCTGTGTAGTGTACGGCATCGTGTGGCTGTTGCTGGTGCGCAAGTGGATTGTCTATCTGCAGGACCTGCCCGTGCGGTCTTGGCTGGTGGTCAAGCAAAAGAAACAGCGGTAGCAATTAATAGTGTGATCCGGGGCTAGATCCAGCACCGACGCGTAGGTACAAGCAGCTAATTGTAAGACTAGGAAAATTCCCGCCTTAATCGATTCCAATGGAAATAAAAATTGAGCATTTGAGCGAAAGGCTGATGATGTTGGTTTATTCGCTCGACTGCGCGCAATCATTGGGAGGGTACAAAGTGTCTTAGATTAGTTTGTGGATAAAAAGTCAGCAGATTGGATTAATAGTACTTCCACGAGTCGATGGACTCCTGGTTCTTCTGCTTGCTCTTGCGCTCAATCAAACCGGCCAAATGCTCCGACCGCATCGACAACGAGTCGATCTTCTCCACCAGCTGCTGGTAGGGACTCAGCGGTTGAGTGCCCATCACCACATGTCCCAGTTTCGAATCGATCTTAGCATTTAGACGGGCGTTGCGGATGAGGTTGACGATCCAGCACTCTGCCTCGTTGGGCTTCATGTTCAGCTTATCGGCCAGCATGCTAATGGTGATGCACTGATGGATGCGGCAGAACGTCTCGAAGATCATCAGGCGGGCATCCTCGACGAACTCGTTCAGGCAGGCGACGATGAAGAAATCGTTGAGGATCACCGTCTGGCACTCGTGCAGCTTCAGACGGGCGCCCTCAAAGTCAAAGTTGACGTAGAGGCACTCCAAGAACTCGGTGATGGGATCCCGGTACGTGTACGACTCCTGCTGGATCACCTTGATCAGATCCTTGAGGGCATTGCGCCGGGTACGATTGATCACAACGGCGGTGGCCAGATAACGCATGATGTGCGGGCACATCGTCTGGATGGCGTTCAGATACAGCGGCTTGTACAGGAACATCTCGATGATGAGATCCCGGCCCTTTGGGTGGTTGAAGAACACCAGCACCGACCAGTGGATCAGCCAGGTGCGCTGCTGCAAGGCCTGAATGGTGCTGAAGTTGGCGCTGTCGATGTAGTCACGCAGACGCGTCAGATCCTCCAGGGCGGTGTTCCAGTTAAGGGTCAGGATCTCGGCAGCCAGCTTGCCCCATAGCACATTCAAATAGTTCTGCAATTAAATGGTGGAATAAGTTAGTTTCTAAGATTCCTTCATTTTGGATAAGATCCTCTACCCACCTTATCGTTGGGCGACATGACAATCAGACAGAAGTAGAGGTACGAGGTGGATTCCTGGTAGTTGCCGCACTCGTACAAATACTTGGCCAGCTTGTAGGCGCTTTCCAGGTGCTCTAGCTTGAAGTTGTAGTCCTTTTGCAAGGCATTGACGAACGTCTTCGAGTCCTTCATGCTCTCGCCGTTCTTGAGGATGTCGGTGGCCTTCATGATCGGCGCTACCTCGTTCTGCAGCTGCTTGAGAGTGGCCAGGACCTCCGCCTTGCGCTGCACCAACTCCTCCGGCATCTCCTGGCTGAGATTGAGACGCTTCCGCGTGTCCATCGTGTAATCAATCATGTTCGTCTTGTTCACCGTCTCCAGGATGTATTCCAGCAGCTCCTGCTGATTGTAGATCTGTGGCAGACGCAATGCAAAAAAAAAAAAAACACATATAACCCATAAGCTCTACAATGGTGACACGGCATCCGCTGGCGGAGCACCGCCTGGCAAATTTTCTAACCTCCTTGCCGCACAAGAACTCCAGCAGCGGGAAGGTGAGATGCCTGTCCAGGTATTGACAGTTGATACGTGTTAGGTCGAACTGTGCCATGATTGATGCTGTTTTACTGTGATTTAACAACAAAATTTACACGCAAAATTGCTAGAAAAATACGCGTGCGAAAGGCAAACAGTGTGCCCAGGGGCGAAAAGAATGACGCCAGGTAGGTGTAGCCAAGGCATGAAAGTGGTCCCACTTTCGAAAATACCAAACTGGTGCAAAGGAGTTTTTTTTGTTTTATTAATTCAAATATTCTTGGCTAATTAAATTAACTGTAACATATTTTTGTTCAATATTTTAGGTGCCATTACCTATTTATTAATTTGATAATCTAAATGAGCAATCAAATTAAAATTCCTTCGTGACGCTATCTTGGCGGGCATATTAAGGATTGCTATTTCCAACTTGCTTGGTCACATTGCTTCGGGAACTGTCATTTAACGCCGGTAAAACGATTTAATATTTTATGGAACCTTCAGTTAAAAAAGCTAAAATGACGAACCCCAAGTTCAAGCAAAACAAGAAGAAGTATTTCCATGCCAAGCGTCAGGTGCTCCAGCCGGGCCAGCGCGGCTTCTTCGCCACGTGCAATATCAACGAGAAGGCATGCGTGCGCGAGTGCTACAATCTGTTGAATCACTACGCAGATTTGCTGTACGGCCCGGAAAAGCCAGAGGAGCCGGAAAAGAAGCCGGATGATGACCAGAAGGAGGCAGAAAAACCGGCTGGTGGAGCTGCAGCCGATGATGACGACGACGATCTGGAGGCAGCGGCAGCCAAATGCCGCGAGACTCTTTCGCAGCGCAAGGTGCGCTTCCAGAACATGGACACCGGCACCACCAACTGTGTGTTCATTCGCACACTGCTCGACGATCCCGTGGAGCTAGGAAAGTACATTATCAACGACATACAAACCACCGGCAAATCGCAGTCCCGCTTTGTCCTGCGCCTGGTGCCCATCGAAGCCGTTTGCCGTGCCAATATGCCGGACATTATCAATGCGGCTGGGACTCTCTTTGACAAGCACTTCCTTAAGGAACCCACTAGCTATGGGATCATCTTTAATCATCGCTACAACCAGCAAATCAAACGGGATGAGGTTATCCACCAGCTGGCCGATCTGGTCAACTCCAAGAACATTGGTAACAAAGTGGACCTTAAGGAGGCTAAGAAATCAATCATAGTAGAGGTGCTACGTGGATATTGTCTGCTCAGCGTCATTGACAACTATTTGGAGAGCAAAAAGTACAATCTGGCAGAGTTGGCAAATCCCAGCGAGAAGAAATCGAATAATGGCGGGGATTCCAAATCGGAGAAGTCTTTGGATGATGATAAGAAGTCTTCCAATGATGGTGAAGAGAAAGAGAAACCCAAAGACAAGGATCAGGGAAAGACTGAGAACCCTTTAGAGGACTCCAAAGAAGAGAAGTCGGAGTCGGAGGAGGCATAAGACAATGAGCAGACTTTGGTGGACATCAAAGCCAAGATGTTCCAGGAGAAAGAAGACAGAATAAGCAGTCCCTGACGAGGCAGTCTGCTGTGCAGACTATCATGAATAAAACGCTCCAGTTATTATCTTTTAATTTTGTTAGGCATTATCCTTTCCTTTATTTTATCCACGCTTAGCGGCTACCTTTGGAGTGTTTTCGTTTGTGTTCTGTGCTGGCCGTAGATCCTTAGACAGACTGTGATGCATTGCGGCTTATGGTTAGTGTTTTGTGACTAAAACTACGGATAGACTAGAGCTAAAGCCTCTATCATCAGTTGCGCTTGAGCAGCATGCCGACGGTGGCGGCGATCTTCTCGTAGGCCATGAACATGAGAGCTGCAGTGAGCACGGTTTGCAGGATCTTTGCTTCCAGGCCGCGGAACAGCCCCCGAATGCCATTGTGCTGCAGTATGCTGATCATCAGCTCCAGCGTGCTGGGCGTCTTGGCTTTAGACGATGTCGATGGCTTCGTTTCCGCCTCCTTGCTGCGGTGGCGCTGCTTGGTCTGCACCAGCTGCAGCGGATACGTTAGCACCGTGGCGAAGGCCTTGGCAATCGCTCCGATGAAGAAGAAGCTCAGGCTGCTCATCTCACCGCCGTTGAAGCGCATTAGGTTGCGTTTAAGCAGCTCGTACATCATGAACTGCAGGGCAGGATTGGAGACCAGCATCAGCGAGGGAATCGTGCCCGACCACAGGCCGGCAATGCCCTCCGTCTTTGCCACATACTTGAGACCCTCCAGCAGGCTTTTGTAGTGCTTGTTAACCTCGTCGGAAGTTCCGGGCACGTTGCGCATTCGCAGACGCGTGTTAACCACCCAAAAGGGTGTGGTGGTCAGCACATTAATTATACCGGCAATGCTGCCCAGAAATAGATCCTTCAACGCGCTGTGCTGGGCGGGAGAGCCGCCCGAGGCCACAGCCTTCAGAGCGTGGAATGTGTAAAAGTAGACAAAATTCGAGATGCACAGACTCTGGAGAACGGGTCCTAGTCCGCGGTATAGGGACTGAAAGCCCTCGCCCAGCACAATCTCCTTGATCACCTGCTTAGTGCTGCGAACCTTTCCGGCTTCCTCCACTGCAAAAGGGAATAAATAAGTGTTAGTTTAGATATTGAGTTGGAGATTTTATGATTTAGAGTTGGAGATTATGGCACCTGGAACTGCCTGTGTGGTGGCTTCTGTTGCTTAAACGCTAATTCAATCTGTCACGCATATACGAAAATGAGTTTAAGCCGACCTTGAACCCTCCTAATACGATAATTATCCCATTTCTGTCATTGAACCTGGAGAGACTATAGTGAACTCTCTTTAGTAATCTTTTCAGAGGTTTGGTTTATATTTTAAGAGGTATTTTAGGCGATGACTACTGTTTGTTTAATTTCGTGAGGCAAAGTCCAAATGTGCACATCCACCTTGATTAATTTATTATTTTTAAATAGAATTTTTGCCTGGTTTCAGTGAGCAAATGGAAAATAGGTATAAATGCAATCAAAGACTGCCCTTTAATCCGTACAAATTTAATAAATGATTAATGTAGTGAGCAAATTAATTTGATAAATATGCCATGTATCTTCTGCAGATCTTCCTAATAACCTGCACATTTTTCCTAAGCAAACATATACAATCTCGTATTGCGATAGTAACCAGAGATCCTATCGATTTCCCCCTTTCTATATACAGAACCTATGAAATTGGATTAGCGACGCGGCGCACTGATTAGACCCCGGCGGCTCTTTAACATATCAATAGAAAGTTTCCAATCGCTGGAGTTTGAACTCGCCCAAAGGTATAAAAGGTACTATAAAAGCGTGCTACCTTATCTATGGACGTCTTCAAAGATTAGTTACAGGCGGGACAGGAAACTTACACTGCAGGCGGGAACGCACCGTGTCCAGCGGATAGAAGGTGCTCATGGCGATGCAGCCACCCTGTAAGAGAGGTATGTGTCAATTAGCATTTGTAAAGTGCCTTCTTGACCTTTAGCCGGCAAATATTTAAATGTGCACTCAACTCACCGCGGCTCCAGAGACGGCGTGCACGAAGTTTTGGTAGCTCAGCACTTGGCTAAGCTTCGAGGGGGCCACCATGGTGTTTGTTTTGGGGGGATTCACTGGGTCTGGTTGTGGAGATCGAGACGTCCGGCGGCGTCTTCGGGCGAGTGTTTACTGATCGGCGGACGCTCCGGCGGCCGGCCTGGCTTGGCACTCGGCAAGAAAATTCAGCGGAGGCAGCGCAGTCGACGCGACGTCAGCGCTGGCCAAGATTAGATTAATTTAACCGAAGTGCGACAGTGGAGGTGGGCGCTTAACCCTTTGATTTACCTCCTTGTTCCGACTTTTACAATGATTCATTCACATAATTCGCGTTTTTTATATACAATTCCAATTTGCCTTTACAAGAGTGACCATAGCGTAATACCAGAAATCATTCGGTATGCGAAATATACCAAAAATACCTAAAGTGGAAAGGATCGTAACATACCGCTATTTTTATGATTTACAAAAAGATTTTTTGAAAACTATTTAAGTGTTTATAATTTATTTATAATTTAATGTTTTGAGTTAATTTGACAATTATTTCAATGGAAAAAAGTGTAATTATTAGTTACGGAGATATAAAACCACATAACAAATAGGAACCTGTTTAAAAGTACGAAAAATAATCAATTTTCCGTCATTAATGTTTTATTTACTGCTAATTATAAATTGTTTTCAATCGAATTCCCACTTAAGCTATAATATACCATATTATGCCTTTACAAAATTATTCTTAGTTATATATTTAATTATATTAACTTACGTACGAGGTCTCCTATTTTAATATACAACTTAGACGTGGCTAAATATTAAAAATAGAGTAATCTTAAAGCAACTGATCAATAAGGCACTTGTCTCTGCGGGGCTCCAGTTTAGGTTTCTTCATGAAATTTACTCCCGTTTCACTGCTACTGTTGAGTAAGTCGGCAGCCTTACGTTTTTGATTCTGTAATTTAAAGATAGTTATAAATAAATAAAATAAATTGCCATAGTATAAGCTAGAGCTTACCTCATGTTCCTCCTCCGTGAGAGTGGCAAAGACAAAGTTCTTGGCCTTGGCTGTTTTCACGGAAACCGTGCTCGCCTCACCGCTTGCATCGACAGATGATCCCTTGGTGAGTCCTGCTGCCAGCTTGGTGAGCGTCTCCTGATCTCGGACCAAGAAAGATCCACGTACTGCGCTTTTCTGCTGCAGCTTGTTGCCAGTGACGGTTTTTGAGATCAGGAATGGGGAACTCTTTTTCACCTCTACCGTTGTCTTTTTGGCCGTAATTATGTTCAGTCGGCGAATGGAGCTACCAGGAGTAGCGCTGCTGTTCATCATGGACGTAGACAGGGGCGAGGCGGCCTCCTAAAATATAAGGACACACTATAAACTATGATAGGGGTAAGGAAGTAGTTGTCGCACCGCTTTTAGACCCTTCTCCAAGAGCAGCTGCTCGCGCTCGTAGCGGATTTTACGCCATAGGTGCTCATTCTCCTCATCGCCGCTGCCCTCGTTGGCCTCGCCATTCTCCAGACGCTGATCTTCCAGACTGAAGCCGTTCTCTGCATTCTTCCAGCGGAACTGACGCTGACGCACTGCGCCCTCCTCGTCCTCGAACAGCATCTCCTGGATCTTGCGTACCTCTCGAATGTCCTGGTCCAGCATTTTCCGTCTTTAAGAGAAAAAAATTAGACTAATGGATGGAAAAGAACATATATACATACGCATGTATCTGCCCCAGCTCGTTACGCAGCTTCTCTCGGTCGAACTGATCCTCATCGCCCAACTCTATGTCATAGGTATCCATGTTCTTCTCGTCCTCATCGGCTGACCCCCACTCGGACTCCGATAGTTCAGCTTCTTTCTCCACAAAGTTGGCGGCGCGTATTTTGCGTTCCTTCTTGTTCATCTCCACAACGATTTCGTTCTCCTCGGAGTCGTAGTCCACAAAGGTTTCCGGTATATCCTCTGCTGGTTCTTCGTCGCTTTCCTCCTCAAACTCCTCTTCGTCGCTTTCCTCGTCATCGGAGAAGCCCAATTTGGCTTTTTTCTTCTGCCTCTTCTTGGTGAGCTTCTTCTTACGCGGCTTTTCTGCATTTTGGACGTCCTCCTTGATCTCCTCCTCATCGCTGGAAAGGATTTTGTTAGCTACCTCAGAGGCCGGTTGGAAATCCGACAGGGGTTCCTGCTTTTGCGTTGGCAACTGTGTTGCAAAAGTGCCAGAACAGAGGGACTCAAGTTCTTCGGGCGCGTCTTGGCTACTTTCTCCCAATTGTGTCATTGGAATTTGACTGATCACAGCCGTGTCCACAGAGGGTGCGGCAGAGGAGTGCATTTGGGTCTGCGGAAACTGGCCGGAGCAAAGGTCAAGCAGCTCGTTCTCCTCATCGCTGGCTGTGCGATGAGTCTCCGTGTCGAAGAGCTTGTTGGCAGAGAGTTGCAGTTGGGTGGCTGTGATGGGGGGAGCACCGCTTGGCTTGGGGGTTTGTAGCAGGTCCAAATCATCGTCGTCGGAGTTGTCGTCGTCCTGGAAGGCCTTTATTATTCTATTCTTTTTACGTCCCATTTGCGGCTCTGCCTCTGGTTCTGCTTCGCTTTCCTCTTCACTATCACTACTCTTTTCCTCTACTTCTTCTATATTCTCTTCTTGATCTTCACCTACATCGACCATCTCTTCTGCATCTTCATCAATTAGGTCGTGGCCTTCCTCTAAGATCTCTTCCTCATCGTTAATGGTCACCTCGGCGTGGACAGGCTTATTTTCCGGCTCGTACTCTTCATCCTCATCCACTTCCATGTCTTCATCGTCGGCAGCCCGTTCCTGTTCTTCCTCAGCTTGCCTCTTTCGCAGCTCTTCCAATCGTTTCTTGGTGATCAAAGTCTTAAGGTGCTCCTGCATTTTTTTATACCCCGCTCCTGGCTTGGGTTCCTTACTCACGGGCTCCTCCTCGTGCGCATGGAAATTAACCTTGGACATCTCCAGTTTTCCGTGCTCGGTGGTTAGAATGCTGCAAGTGAAATCAAAGATTAATATGGATTCGATGACAAGAGATATGGTTTACTTACTTGACTGTCTCGGAGGCCTTGTGCTTTTTGGCCTCACGCGTCTTCATTAGGCGCTGCAACAAATCATCCACTCCAGTTGGCTTCTTGGCGAACATATCACCCGTTTCCAGGTCAATTACCATGCTGGCATCGCCCTTCAACGAGGGGCTCACATCCGTGCTCTTCTCGACCTTCAGCCGCCGAATTGCTTCGCTTATTTTTGGCGTTGCCGGCTTGGAAGGCGGCGTTTTGTTGATGGTACTCAAGTCCAGCTTGGGCAACTCCACCACCTCCGTAACGAGAACGATCTTAGCAGGAGATTTCTGCTCACCTTCCGCTCGGAATTCCTTCAGACCTGCTGCAGCTGAAGTGGAAGCAATGGGCTCTTCTTCTGTAAGAGCATTCTCCTCCATTTGTTCGCTGGCTAGCTCTTCTGACTGCACGTTGGGTTCTTCTTGGATCTCTGGTACATCATCAATAACACCTGGATTGTCTTTCAATTCCAAGGGTGGTTCCTCTCCATTGTTTTCTGGTTCACTTTCCTCCTCCTCGTCCGGCTCGGATTCGGATTTGAAAAACTCTGTGGCCTCCTGGGCTCGCGCCTCCATTAGTTTCCTGCAATCCAAAGTTTAAATCGGCTTTATATACATATCCTTGAATCATAACTTACGCAAAGGCTTCCAAGTCCTCGCTGGCCATACGCAAGCCCACCGGCTTTCTGGGCTGTTTGTTGGGCATGGGACTGCCACCGGCCAAGGCGGTAGCCAGAGGCTCGTTTATGGTGCGTCGAGCAAGGAACTCCTTCAGCGTCCTGGGCTTCGGCTGATGGTAGGGCACATTTATGTGGGCCTCGCGGTGCAGACGTTGTTGCTCGCTCTGTATGGCCTGCATACCCTGCAGGGCTTTCTTAGCTGATTCCTGGGGAGAAATGTACATGGTTAACTTTACATTTTAGAGGAATTTAGTAGGTTAACTCACGCGCACAACTTTTGGCTTCTTGGGTTTCCCTGAGAGTGCTTCAGTGGGTGCTTCCTGGTCTCTTGCTGACTTCTCTGGACTGCTTAACTCCGCTTCGGATTCCGAGTCCACCAAGCCCTTGAGTTTGCTGGTCACGGGGCTGGTTTCTTCGTCGCACATACCTTTGTGGTCCTCTTGTTCGCTATTACTGTCCATTCGCTGCTTCTTTTTCTTTTTCTTCTTGGAAGGTTTCTCCTTGTTCTCCTGGTCCTCCTCGTCGGACAATCTTTTAACTTGTTTCTTGGTCACCTTTATTGTGTTTTTCGTATTATGTTTTGGTGATGTTTGATCGTCTGGCTCGGAGTCCGTGTCCACCCAACCCTTGAGTTTGGTATTTGTGATTTTCTTGGGCGGAGTCTCCGGATCGGGTTTAATTTCCTCATTCTCCTGTGGCTCCTCCTCACTGTCTGTGTCTATGATGGCAGATATTTTCTTTTTGGGTTTGGTAGCCGCTGCCTCATCGTTTGGTTCCACCTTCACGTTCTGCTGCTCCGGCTCCATATTCGCATCGCCCGCATCCTCTCCATCATCGCTAAGCAGCCTCCGCTGGCGCCTGGCCTTCGGAGATACTTTCCTTGCTATATCCTCGCCTTCGCTGTCGTCCGACATCATCAAACTCTTGCCACCGAGCAAATCTTCTGCAGACACATTCTTTTCGTCTTCCTCGTTCAGCTCCAGCTTTTCCATGGTGTCGTCGGCCTGCTCTTCACTTTCCGCCGTCGCTGCAGTTTCTGCAACCGATTCGCTCATATTTCTGGGTCACTTTGGTGCTGCTTCGTTTGTTTTTTGTTAATAAAATAATAATCAAAAACGCACACACCCGCAGTTGTGTTCGACTTTTGGCGCAAAAAGTGTTGAAAATCGCGGGAGCCAAATCAGCTGTTGCTAAAGATCATGGCCCTCTCAAACGCGCGTTACCAGACTGATGTAAAAATAGCCGGCTTTAATGAAGGCGGTGGGAAACTTTGATGAAAATGTGATTAACTGTGCTTACGCGGGATGGAGGAAATTTAAATTGTGAATGTACATTTTTTGAAAATTTTAATATTTTATTGATTTAATATTACAATTTGTTCGACAAATCAAAGTTAAAAATAGTGATAACTAAACCGAAAAAGCATTAATTTTAATTCGGAAGACATTCATATGTTAGTTTAATTGGGTTAACAAATCTGCATACTAATTTAAAATTAAGAACAAATTCAAAATTTTATAATTTTTTTTTTTTAGTTTTAAAATATAATATTAGGTAAAAAATGGAAAACTTTTTTTTTCTCTCCGGATGCCTAGAAAGAATAAATATTTCGATTTTGTTTTAATTTAAGGGGCAATAAAAATCTATGTTTTCTTAGTTATTTTTTAAGTATACACCTTGTCTATCTACGTATTAATCTATTCATTCAGAGAAATCTGCAGGCCAACTCATGTAATGATTAAATACCTATTTTTATCTTAAAGACTCAAGTTAAATTTCTCGGCGGGTGGACCCGTAAACAATCAAATGTACATGATTATTTAAATGGAATTCAAACAGCGTGAACGAATCTAAGACAGCAACTTAATCAGCAGTAACTTGGTGCAGGCCCCGCAGCAACATCGGAGCAGTAGGCCAGCAACAACCTTTCCACAAGTACAGCAATCGAAAGTAAGTGCCCAACGGATTTGCATACATTTTTAATACAGATAAAGTATCTGTGTGTGTGTGTACCTGTTTCTTTTGTTGCAAGGCCGCTGAAAGTTGGTTGGGCCAACGAATTTTTATACCCTTTTAGGGTATTATAATTTAAATCAGAAGTTTGCTATTTAGTAAAGGAGTCATTTCCGGTCATATAAAGAATATATATTCTTGATCAGCATCAACATCTTCCCGTTTCTATGCAAACTAGTTCCTCAGTTTTAAAACTATCTGAATGAAACTAGGCAGTTTATATTCTATATACTCTAACTATTATATAAGTCGGGATCGAACGACTATATTATATAGCTGCCATAGGAACAATCGGATAATGTTTAGAAAATAACTTATAACTATTCAGGTTCTCAAAATATTTGCATCTAATTTAAGATAAAGCCATTTGGTATTATTTTATAATTTCTATATTAATTTTAATAAAATCGGACGACTATATCCTATATAGCATCGGAACGATCGTTAAATGCAGACGAAAATGCAAAACTCCCTCTCTCGCTCGCTCGCGCGCCCTGTATGGCTGTCCCTCTATGTGTGCCTCTAGAGCTATCTCTTACTCTCTATGTCTCTCTGCCTCTTTATAGAATTAGCTCTTACTCTCTCGGTCTCAAATTCTCTGTTCTCTTTGCTCGGAGACTATAAATACAGCGCGCTGCCGCCGGCCGGCCTTAGTCTGTCCTAGGGGTACCTAGAGTTAACATCAGTGGTGATAGTGATTGTGATTACTCTTGAGACTCAAAAACCATGACGTGGCCAACCAATACATCTGGATAAACAGGAAGAAGATGACTTTGCTGATAACATGCGATGCCTAAGGAAGGAAGACATTAAGCAATGACGATAACCGTGTGTCCTCCACTGGGGTAAGTGTTTAGCATGACAATTATAATATGATATGCATATATGTAGATGTTATAAAAGGGATCAGACCTAGTTTTAGGATCAGCCTAACTTAATAGTATACGCTTCGGCTTACCAAAGTTAGTTTCCTTTCATGTTTATACTTAGTAAAAGTAAGTGTGAATGAGGAATATAAGGGAATATAAATTCATTTTATATAAATTTCTTCACATCTCTTTAGAATATCAATATTTTTTCTGTGCTTTTCTGCTTTAACTACAAATACCGGCTGCTACCGTGCTTTCTCCGCATCTCTTTCTTGCGCCCGGCCATTTCTCTTTCACAGTTTAGTGGCTGCGAGGCTGGAGCTCTGGTCTTTGGGCCGAGGGTCATTAAGTAACCCAACGGCTGCCGAGCGTTGCCTAATGATAGCCACTACACATGTGTGTGAGTGTAGATATATATCTGGCCAGATATAAATAGCATTAAAATGCAATTATAAATGGCTTCAACGCAGGCCAACAAAAAAAAAAACGCATCCAATCCGCCAACCATTAACCCCGCTTAAGACCTTAATATTCAATTAACGCCGATTTCTCGGCCCTCTGAATGAAAGCAAAAGGCAAAAGCCTAAAAGAGCCAAAACACCGAAACCAAACCGTTTTAATGGGTGTCAAATTCCCGGCAACTTTTCACTTTACAAGCACCAATGATCGTGCTTATAATTCTGAGATCACACAGTTGGCGATCGCCTTTGATTTGATAAATGCATTTTACAGAAAAACAAAATAGTATATAATATACTTTCGGGACAAATGTTTCACCTTGCTGAAGCGTTGCGCAACGGAGATTCCACGCCACAACAAAGCCTGGTGTGTTATCCAATCTTAGAAAGATCCGAAGAAAGCACCACACACAGATAGTAATAATTTACGAATCTTATGGTTTCCGCTATGCGAAATTTATAATATATTCGCAGAGCCAATCGCAGCATGGGCTTAATCGATGGAGATATTAGAAGGGTTGGAAACGAACTTGGAATGCTCTTTCTTATTTAGATTTTTAAGAAGTTATAGTTAAGTGGATATAAAATAGGATTATATTGAATAGGATTAGGTTTTTCGAAGGAAGGTAGGTGTTTACATCATGTCTTATTATTCCCTAGGGCGGGGCTTCTTATAAAATATATTAGTATCAAAGTATTACAACACTCTTCCCTACCATAACTATATAATTCCCATCAATAAAGCTTATATTATCTGGGAGCTAGGCGATACTTAAATTAAATCATAATACCTACGAACTAGACCTTTATTTATCTCCAAGCTTCAGTTAGGGCACCAATTAGCATATATATCTACTATTGTATTGTATGTATATATAAAAAAATACAAATCTTGGCGCACAATTTCTCTTTCATTTAGCGAAAAAATAAAAACAGTTAACTGGCTGCCTGTAGTCGAGTATCTGAGTATCTTGACTTGGGCATCTTTTCTTTGGTATCTGTAGCAGAGATTTGGCTTTTGGCCACTTACGGTATTTCTGCGCCTTGTTGTCGCTGTCGCTACCTAATTTGCATACGCACAACTGAATATTACTATATGTATATCTATATATATATATATTTATCTGTAGCTGTAGCTCCGAGCTTCGAAATGAAAGTGAAAACCCTGCAGTCTCGAGTGTGTGCTAAACGGACAGTCTAACCGAAAGATACACACATAATGCTCAACTGTCTTTAATAAATATTGATCGTGAATCGAAATTTTGTGGGAATTGGAAATGGGACTACGATTAAAAAAGCAAACAAAGCGTAAAGCCTTTTGTAAGCCTTTATTTCTTTAGAAAACTATATTTAAAAAGATCTTTTCTTTTTTGGCAAGGCTGAATTGAGTTGAGTGGAGTGGCTTATGCAATCGAGCGGACTTAAGACCTTTCAACACTCCTTCAAACTGCAGCTTAATTCGAGATCCGGAGTTGGCATTGCAGTTTCATGTTGAAGTTTATTTAGCGGCTAAACTCTCGACACTGTCTTTAGCAATTAAATATATCGAACATGAGAGTCGATTGGGTTGTTATATACTCAGAAAAATATTATAGAAATAATACTTCTTGAAATACAGAAAACACTGGGAAAGTCTGCATCATGTTAAACTTCAAAGTTGAATTTTAAGGTACCAGAAATATGGCAAAAGCATTTCATAAAGTAAAATTAATTCGTTTTCCTTTTCTTAGTATAACATACTGATATTTATTTCAAAATTATTACTACTTAGTGGGTTGTAGCTAAAATGATCATTTAACACATTTCTGCACTAGGTTTCCAGTGTAGCCTAGCTGTTCCTTGGCCCCAGACACGCCTTTGGCTGTGTCTTGTGTCTGGCTTTTGGCCATCCGATTGAGATTTCTTGCCGTTTTTTGCTTTGGCATTTTTGGCTTTTTGGCGAGTGAAAGTGATATATGGCGCATGACTCAGGCTCCGTCCATGCTCGCCTCTCCGCTGCGTCCGCCCGACTCCCATTCGATCCGACCTCATCCCGGCCCCCAAAGTCATATGCATAAAATAATAATTAAGCGCCATTTATGCGGCCCAAGACTTCGAAAACATGGCGAAAAAAGGGCGCAGCAGCCATCAAGCGAGGATCGAAACCAAAGACCAAATCAATTGATATGTTTTGTAGGGACACTGAGAGAAATTGAAGGTATAGTACTGGGAGAAATATTTATATAGAGAAAGTAAGGTAAGGAGTTAGGGTAAGACTTTTTCATCAAGAAAAAATAAGTAAAGAAAAATATACTTAAGGCATACATAAAATCCTATTTGATATATATTTCGGCTAATACTACCCCTTAATAAGTGAATGAGCAATCTTTCTGCATTCCAATGGTCCAAACAAAATTATTTAATGGAGCTTAGCCCCTTCACCTCACCTTTTGACTAATATACATACATATACACCTGTGCAGTCAGTCAGGGACCTAGGTTCATTGTCTTTATAAATGTGATTTAGGGCCGGCGACAGCGAGACAGACAGAAAGACAGGCCAACGGAAAAGCCAGTTGCAGCCAAGTGAACAATAAGTAAAAAAGCCAGCAAATTGCGGCCCAGCAAAAGACGCTGACAAAAGAAATGGAAAGTAAAAAGTGTGGAGTTGTTCCATTGAGCTCGATGACCGGGCAACGGGTTGCAGCTCCACAGCTCCACAACTCCGGCCGGAGTTCGGCTTGCATAATGATTGACATTGTTTTGGATGCCGCCTTAGTCCACGATAATTTGTTTATAAACAATAAGAGTTTGGAT